CTGCAATCGCCCAGTGGAATGAGGGACTCCGTAGTCGGCACTTCATACAGAGCACATTCCACTTCCTCAAGGAAGGACTCGAATTCCCCCTCCAAACTGAAAGCACTGACCTGTATAATTCAAAGCTTTATTCTGTTGTAGCCTCAGTCGAAGAACTGCCATTCTTCGGTTGATGGGCTTCCATTCAGTGATTTAGTCAGCCAGGTTGGCTTATACCAGAACACGTAAACGGGGTTAATCGCAATCCGTTGAGTCGACATCTGACTAGAATAGCTTCCATCAGCAGATTTTCTGAACTGCAGAGTCTGGTCCTCGATGAGAGTCCAACTGTTTTCCGTCGGTACCATGTGGCCTCATAGAGTAGCTCCTGTTCATTCCATCTGAGAGAAGACTTTCAATTCCCAACTGCGAGCTCCCACTGTCGGTACGTTCCCGTGAAACCTTATTTGATGTGCTATAATGGCATCGTGCTGTATGCCTCTTCTGTTCAGAACGAGAAAAGACTCCGTTGCTGACTGGTGTACGTTCTCGTATTCTCACTGTCGATCTTCGGCAGTCGTCGGCGTGATGCCATGCTTCCAGCTGCTAAAAGGCGTGAAGCAAATTTCGATCCACCGCTTTTCAAAGGCTGCTTCTGGTCAACTGGGCGGCCCTAGGAAAGCTGGTCAACGACCCAGCCGGTATAACGTTCGATAACAGCATTTTCTTTCGGGGTGGGTAACTAAATTTTTAATCGTCACGGTCTCCGACAATCATCTTTTTTGATTCATGCTTGGGACCGAAAATGGCTGACTAGTTCTCTCATAACCCCTAAATAATTTTGTCAACAATTCGTGCAAGATATCAATCTTGTATCTACTGCGAAAGTCTATTAAACAATCTTGCATGACTTTTCTAGATTTGGATGCCCGCTTCTAGAAGGTTAAGAGACCATTTATGCATGCTGAGGCTTTATTGTATTAGAGAATCTGCAGTGCATGGGAGTAAAACTGTACCAAAACGTTTGTGTGGAACAAAAATCCGTTCAAACACGAACAAAAGGCAACAAAAATACCCATAATACCTTGGATAATTTTCACTATATATGCGTGCAGGTAGAGACATATTCGTTGGTACTCAAATATGTATTTTTAACTCAACGAAATGGTGCTGGCTGTTTCGTGCCATTGCACTGCATGTTCTAAAATACCATAGAACGCATGGTTAAACAATCGCAAATAGAAGCAAAATGATGGCGCGACTACGCTGTTCAAGACCTGAGAAGTGGAAGGAGATTTTTTTCTTGACAACGGTATTTAATAACGCTAAATTAATTTATTTATGTACGTTGATATCTTCGAACCTTTCATTTTCAAGAAATGTTCAGATACCGTTTACTGTGATGAAAAGTAAAGTTATTAAAGTGCATACAGAACCGAATCAGTCAGAAACAACAGGAGGAGAAAACACAGAATACCCTGGCCTAAGGTCGTACCTTCTGCATCGGTGACGAGTCTGACACCTTCTTCGCCGGTTAACAGGGACACTTAAAATTACAAATAGCAAGAAATCGCTGCATATTCACAAGTATTACGAATGAGCGACTCAATGTTGAACAAAACAACGGTGAAGTCGCTGCTTTTCGTCTTGACGGTGACAAAATCAAGCGGAAATCCGTATTTTACACGAAATAACGACGAACGTGAGGGCGACAAGATCGACGATGAAGAAATCTATGGAGACGAAAGCGCGCGCGTGAGTCAAAAGGAGGTCAAGAATCGAGCAAAACTCGCCTACCGTCTTTTGAATGTCCTTCTGCTGCTGCAGCGGGGCTAAAACCAGCTCTGCATTCAAACCGGTTAATACTCGATCCAGATGCCCTGAAATTCCACAACTGCAAAAGGGATATTTTGAACAGCTCGAAGGCGACAATATTTTGCATATAACGCCACAGTGGCGAATAGTTAAAGATGTTACGCAGACCGAGACACTATATTGCTGCATTTGAGCTTCGACTAATTACCAAAATCATCGGGCTTTTGACAATCCATTGCTAAATGAAGATTAATCGAAGGCTGTGCCAATGACTACAGCTTTCTGCCATTTGTATCCATCTTGATCCAGCGAGGTTCTTTAACTCATCTTGCCACTGATCTGGATGCGGTTCCACAAGTCATTTACTCTTCCTTGCAACAGAGTCTTATGTCTATCTGGTCCAGCGATGGTCTGCTCTTCTAGAAACGTATAATGCTCCTTGTTCACACGGCCAATGACATCGCAAACTTTGGCTTGTGCTCGCATCCATTTCCAATCTTTTCTTGCTTTTCCCAAAATACGTCGCTGCATGTTGTGTTGAGTTGCTTAGTCTGAAGTTCATGAATAGCTTTAACACTTAGGATTCACGAATCTCATCGACATGATGGTACTGGGAGCACATACTGGTCGAAAGCTTTCCGTTTCAAACAAAAGAGTAATTTCCGGGATAGGAACTTCTTCAGTCTTCCAAAAGAGCTCCATATCATTTTTATTCTGTTGATTTAAATTAGTCGCTTTACTGGTGCAGAAATGAGATGTCCCAGATAGTTGTAATTTTGCACCTCGCCAAGTCCACTGACTTCAACAAGCCGAGGGTTCGCGTATTCATTAAACATGACCTAAGTATTCTTTATATTTATTTTCAGTTTGCATTGATGCTGCTGTCGTTCTGCTCTTAAATCATTTACTGGAGTTTTCTGGCGACCTTGAGACGATCAGAATATTGTATTCGCAAATGGCCGATGGATGAAATAATGCTTATGTTTAGCCCTTATTTTTCCAATTTCCAGAGCTGCTGAGAATGACTTCGGTGATACAGCGTACCCTGTAGGATGCCATTTCGGTTTTAAACCTGCTTGTGCTTTTGTGAAGCTTAACACTAGCCGTTGCGCTCACGCGATCAGGATTGTATATCTTTTTTCGATAACCCAAAAGATGGCTGCACAGCAAGGAAGAGATGCAAACTTGCTCAGATGTCGTAATCCAGCTGAATGGAAATAAAGATTCGGGCGCCAGGAATACCTATTATGTCTGCCTGACATCATTAAAATGGCCATCCCAAACTAAAAACTGATTCAACAAATCAAAACTTCGAGAACTAAAATACAAGCGTTGAAAGATAACATCAGACATCGCAGACTACCACTACGACCTGAGAAAAAACTAGGCCCCGCAACAGCTGAAGAATAAACATTTATTTTATGCCGTGACAATTCTGCAAAATAGCCTACTATTTACCATAACAGAATCGCAGACACTGCCATTCTAATCTAAGCAACAGAGGCCCTGCTTCTGAATATCTCAAATAACTACAACAGCCAGATTACACTAGTACTACAGTACAACATACTACGCGCTAATAAACATACACTATACCATTCTGTAATACATGACAGAATGTTACTTCCATGTCAAACGTCAGCTCGAGGTCATTCGAATTCACCAAGTCCATCAGATACACTTATATATTTCTTGATTTGCTAACAATGAACATACCTGTTTCAATCTGCCACACGTACGCCGAGCGATCCTCGCACTCCACAATCAAATAATCGTCAGAAGTTCTCCAGTAGATGTTTTTCACCGGATAATAGTGCCTGCTGGCGAGCAAAACGCATCGACGCTCCTTGAGATTCAGCAACGCCACAGAGCCATCGCCGGCAATACTGCATACCGAGTGAGCAACCTTTGGCTAAAATCAGCAATCTCTTTTCAGGACCTAAGTCTCATACACCTTTTTGGTACGCTAGTCATTACGTCCAAAAATTATATACTCTAAACAACCCTGACGACTGTTTCTGCATCAACAAAAAAACTGCATCGCGTCTAAAGCCACTGCCCTGCTGCAAAGGTGGACAATGTATATTATATCAATGGTAAATTTTCCATCTTGCTATTATTATATTATTATACCCTTCTATAAAACAGCTGCATTACTCTACGCTATACTGCTACTATATTATCTATTAAATCGTTTTACCTTACAAGTAGTAGTCAAATACTGTAATACAACTGTCTATTATACGTTGTCTACTGTACAACGGTAAGAGCGTAGAACTACATATAGCAGAATACAGCAATACAGCGCAATACATACAATGAGTAGTTATATAAAATAAACGATAGAAACAAATTTATCAGTCAGATAAACATAATAAATAATACGACTAGTACATGACATTACTGCAGATGCTACATTTAATCGTGGAACTACAGCCTGCTGCAAGGATTCCCCAGGCAATCAGAACTATAGGAGCAGAGCAACAACACCTGCAAACACAAAAGCATACTCGAAACCTAAAAAATCCTGTCAGTGACATACCTTTTATTCACGGCTTCTTTGAATTACCTGCAGTGCCAGTTATAGATGATCCACCGTACTAAATCCATCTCTCCATCCTATTAACTCCCTTGGCGGGATAGCGTCCAGTTTTTCATGAGGTTTCCATTCGTCAGTACTATCGTTAAGATAATACAAATAATTCGTAGGAAGGAGACCAGCCTGCAACTCTTCAAACACTATCTGTTCTTTGGAATACAATTCCCAACACGGAAGTCCAATCATTCGGAAATTATAGTTCCTCCAGAAAATGTCAAAACAAGCGCTACAGTATTCTTGGTCAATGCTTCACTCCCTCGTTAAATGAATTTCACTATAATGTCATCCTTGCCAGGAATCATTCTTAACTTCGTCCGGTTTACAGTATGCTGAACTTCTGTTGGCAATACTTGTGGAGTTCTGTCAACTTCGTTTGTATTTTCAGGCTCGTCGCTGTCTACTATCGCGCTGCTATTTTCACCCTTCTGTAGTCATCTATAGAAACCTTCCAGTTCAGTTCAATTTCAATGACCGCTTCTTCATTCGGGTCGCGCAACCAGAGGTGCCAGAGAGCGCTTCCAGTGTTCCAGATCCAGTGCCAGCGACTGAACTGTGGCAGAAAAACAGACTTCTTCAATACACTTGCACAAGGTTATCTTGGCCGTCTCCGTTGTCAAAGACCGGTCAGATGGACAAGTAATAGCTGGATATTCTTAATTTTAGGAAGCATTCGCAACACATGCCCAAACCATCGCAGCTATGACCTTTCAATGTGAAAAAGCAGCGGCTGCGCACCAAGGATCTCACAGATTCCTGTACTCCGGCCCATATCAATCGCTAGTACCCGGGATCGAAGTTCACGATTCATGACCGTAGACGAGCATGGAGATGAAAATCGACCTGAACACCAAAAACTTAGTCGTCAGACTCAGCTCTGCGCTAGTAGAGTTCAAGCTGATTCAGGCAAAACAGAAGTGGTGATTCAAATCCGTCAGTCAATCACTTCCTTTCATTTTCGATCAAGAGTAAACACGACCTCGATGTACTTGAACTTCTCCACTTGCTCCACTGTCATTTCGTTCATCTGAGTAGAAAGGACATCACAACGAAAAAGCACCAGGCTTTCCGTTTTAGACTGGTTAACACGCATGATGGCCATGTCGCATTTAGCTGTGCAACGTCCATCGGAGCGCTGGAGAACAGTTTCAGAAGACGCCAATAAAACAAGGTCGTCCGAAACCAGCAACCTTCTCGTCTCGAAATCCCCTACACCGACACATTCATCGCCTTGTCTGCGCCTCACTATTCTATCCATATACATACAACGGAAACTGGAGAGGGGACAGTACGCAGGCTTGGCGGAGACCGATGTCAACGCTGAAAAGTTCTCGACTTAACGCCATTTACTCTGACGCAGCATACGCTATCAGCAGGCTGCCCGTAGCAACTGGCAATCGATCCCATCTGTTCACAGGCGCACCCATGTTGCGCGGCATCTGGCGTTAGGCTTTCCCTAGGTCTACAAAGCACGTGCAAACGGGCTAAGCAAACTCCCACGATTTCTCGGGTGTAAGGCGAATATGTGGTCAGATGTGCTTCAGGCAAAACGGAAGCACTGTTCTTCTTCCATTTCGAAATCAGCTATTCCGCGACACCTTTTTAGCACCGTGTAGGTCAATAAGGCAATGCCCCAGTAACTGGAGCCCTTCTCGCAGTCTCCCTTCAAGAACACAGGGATTTCAGAACCCTCCTTAGCCAGCCCGCTGGTGTCTACCTCCGTAGACATTGCAGTTTGACAGACAGGTGTATGCCAGAAAGTGTGCTCTTCGCCCAACGGTTGAGCATTTCAGCGCGGATTTTATCGAACTTCTCCAAGGAATCAGTTTTCGGTTTTGCTGACGCCTTGAGAGCTTCTACATGCTGCATCCCAGATGAAGGCTCTTTGTTTCCAAACCATTTCTTGAACGCAACCTGCTTCTGGGTGACAACCCGCTGTACCTATAGTATCCACCAGGAATTCCGCTTCTGATCTCAAGGCAGAAGGCTAACCCGTTTAAAACCACATGCTTCCGGCGGCAGCCCTGATTATGCCTCTCTCAAAGAACTTCCACGCGGTCTCGAAATTAGCGATTATCAATTGATCTGGTCATACGTTGTTATTTGCACATTTCGCATTCGTACCAGCAGAAGACAATGTGCCCCATTTGATGCTCTGATAGCCTCTACCGTCAGGTCGTCGAATAGTACTCCAAGTTTAACCGTGTAGCATACCAACAACAAGGTGATGATCGGTTGATTGCCATGCACCTCTCAACACGAACATCCGCTACAGAGCTCGTAAGTCAGATGATACCATTATCAAATCGACCATCGACTTCTTTGCATGATCTTCCATATGACAGTAATAATGATGCACGCCTCGATGCTCGAAGAAAGTGCTCATAACAGACAGTCCGTTGTATGCACAAAGCCGAAACAGATTCATGCCATTATTATTCAAATCGCTAAGACCATTCTTTCCCATCACTCCTTTCCGTTTCTGAGTGTCTGCTATGACATGATAATTGAAATTGCCCATTAGAATGAAGGACTCCGTAGGCGGCACTTCATACAGAGCACACTTCACTCCCTCAAGGAAGGAATCGTATTCACCCTCTAAATTGAGCGCATAGACCTATAACAAGGTCAACGTTTTAAGCCAGTGTCGGGCAACCGGTGTGTCGCGAAAAAGTTTTGGGGTGCCGCGAGAAGTTTTGAAAAATATTCAAAATTGCCAGTGTTCTGAACCAAAGGAAATCTATGAAAATAAAAATGTAAATCTTCAACTGTGCCTGTCTGACTCAATAACTTCGACAGTTCTTCACA